CGTCGTTCCTGAAAGTGTTTAACCGTCGTCGTTTATTCGAACCGAGTATACATATGTATACTCGTGTATCGATCTTCTCCAGCCTAGAGGTTTTACAATCTCTTTTCAACTAAAAAAGTACGCGTTTACGCTGGCCTAACAGACAAAGAAGGGAAGAAGCTGATATGTAGCATTTGCTGCTGGCGTTTTTCGGGCGTCGATCGCGCCCGGGCTAAGCCAAGTAGAAAAGCCAAGAGGTCCTATTGGCCCTTCGTAGGGCTGTGGTTGAAGCTTGCCATTTGGAGCACAGCTAAACAACCGGCGGCAGCAGCAGCATCTGTACGATCAATACGCAGCGCGCGAGCTGCGTACCACTGGGTCTACGTGGAAATCCGGCAACGACTACCATGATCGTCACTGACGAAGACGATGACACGACTACTACGTCCATGACGAGGACTGCCTACGTACGATACCACGGACATAACGGCTTGGTGCCTCAGGGCGTGGAGGAGGAGGAGGAAGAAGGGGCGGAGGCGGAGGCGGAGGAGGACGTTGCCTGGCGACGGAAGCTGCCTACCGACAGAGTTCATCGTCCTCCAGCTTGTTTCTTCTCTCTCCCACCCACCCATTCACCCTCGGTACATATATCCTTCTCCGTTTTCCCTGCCCGTCGCGCTCGATTTTGTCTTGTTCTCTCGCTCTTCCTCGTTTTCTCTCTCTCTCTCTCTCTCTCTCTCTCTCTCTCTCTCTCTCTCTCTCTCTCTCTCTCAACCCCGCGCGTTGCCCCACCCTTCCTCACTGTTGTACCACTCCCTTATTCCCTAGCTGGCTTCCACCTTCTCTCTCCCTCTCTAGCTGTCTATTCTTTCTCTTTCAATCTGCCCCCCCCCCTGTCATTCCACCTCTCTCTTCACGGCTTTGTACTTTCCTCGCGTTCGCCTTCTCCGTTTCTTCGTTCGTCGATGTTCTCTGTTTTTTCTAGTTCTTCTCATCGCTCCTATGCCCACCCCACGCTTTTTTCTCTTCGACGTTCCCTTCTCGATGCCGACATTTCTTCGTTTTTTTTATTTTGCAAACTTTCCTCGATACGCGAAGTGCGCGTCCTAATCCACCGATCTTTTCTCCGCTTATACGAGGTAACCCGATATAATTTACTACGGCAGGTGGCGTCGATTTTGCGTTTGACAATACGTCAAGACCAGGACTCGATTCGTAAAGTAAAACACTATTGGCATACACAACCAAACAATAACTTATTGGTACGTTTAACTTTCTTTCTTCTATGGACAGAGTTCATGCTACAGAGGGTTAACCTATTTAGAAATGAGGTATTACCATGAATTTAGCGAACGCCAACAGAGTGTCCTCGGACCGCCCGTGTAAACGTGCGCATGCGCATTCGGGCACATTTAACCACACAACTGGAGTTGTAAACGAAGGGCAGCTACCCCGGCAACAATTTTTCCTACACCCCTCACCATCTGCTTGCCTTCGACTCGACTTTTCATCTCTTTAAATTGATACACGCATCTCCGCGGCGCAGTCCCCGCCTCGGCTCGCTAGTTTTTCCCTGGTTAATATTCGCTTTCAAGCGGTCGCGTCCGTCACAGGTTTTAACGATCGCGGATGCGATGCAATGACGTTAACGCCATCTGCGTAACCGTGGGCTCTGCGAATCAATTAGTACCGACAGTGATTCATCGATTTTTTCGCTGGAGGATATTTAACGCGTTCGTTACCCACGCGTCATATATTTTCTGAAGTCTAGACTATATTAGCGGGGGACGCGAGTTCATCATCCATCTATATCTGACATATGCAATTTTGCATATTACATAAAAGAAAATTAATCCTGTGTGTACCTTGTCATCGATGATTCAAGTTTTACTAGCGTTATCAGACAATACCCATAGATGGTGGACTCAGTTTTTCATAAATGTCATTTCCCAAGTAACACGTACGGTTTTTTTGCTACCTGTATTTTTATACGTTCTAACTAAGACACCACAGAAGCTAGATACAATATTTGGCCTTAGCTCGTGTTAAGTACACATCGAAAGAACTTGTCGACAATCAAATGGGAATGGGGGGAGTCAGTTTGCAAGTACAGAAGCAGAGAACACGAGTTCTTCTTGCGAATTTAAAATAGTCGAATTTTTATAAATGCTATTGGGTAGAGGAAGATCTCTTATCCAGACGGTATTGGGATTTTCGCGTTCTGGTTAAGTCCGCCCGTCCGCCTCGAGAGTATATGTATACGGCTTCGATGCCCCCCCTATTTTTTCCTCGTTCTGTTTGCTTCTCTTCGCTGGCTGGCTCGACGCGATATTGTTTCAAACGTAATGAGTTCAACGTTCGGAACAACACACGTACTCTATATATTATAATACCCCGACGAAGAACATATCCACTATTTCTCTCTCTTCTTTTCCTCTCTTCTCAACTGTGTTGGGCGAGTCGTTTTTTTCGATCTTCCGTTTAAGCTCCTCGGTTTATTTTCGTCTTTTGCTCTCCCCCTTCGCTTGTGTATTTTTTTCTCCCGGACTCTGCTTTCCCTCCCCGACCATTCTTCTCTGTCCCTGTTCCGACAGTATTTTTCTCCCTAGACTCCTTCTCCACTCGGGAATTCACATTGGCAAATTGGCACACATCCTCTACCACATCTCGTTTCTGCCATCCATATAATCCTCCGCACTAAAGCAACCCTTGTGTATATGTACCAGCTATTCATTACACGCCATTATCACGACGCGTCGTTTACATTGCAGAGAACAACCGTTGTGTCGTCGTCGTCGTCGTCGTCGTCGTTTCTATCATCGCTATTATCACTCACACACCACAAAACGAACATAACGAATGGTTTCGCTTAAGTATTTCGAACGAAGTCACATTCGATACCCTCTTATTACCCCGACGATGATGAGTTCTTTCCGATAAACCATTCCCACATACATTCGCGACATTGTTCCCCTTTTCGTGGGACCGTACCCGATGCCCCGGTCTCTTCGTGCCACATACATACAGCTAATTCAGGTGACTTCTACCACGGGCGACACAACTCGGACACCACGCTGTTCGTTGCGCCCGTTGTTCCACTTGTCGATCTCCATCGAACCGAGAAATGCCATGTTGTGTTAGCCTACTCTAGCGCGAGACGTGTTGTGCGGTCACTTCCGAATATCATTGGTTCTTTTTTTTTTAAACAAGCTAACAAGGATATATGATTTACGGAGTAAGGTATAATGCATGCGACTATTACGCATTCAGTTCTACGCAAAATGAGATTCTTCAATGGGAATTCATAATGTACTGAAGGTGTATTTCACACTTCGTACTTTCAAAGCTCCAATTGTCGTGTATATCCGTTCAAAAGGATTCTAAAGTCGGTAGAAAATTGAGGGCTCACTGGAAGAGGAACACATACCACAATGCTGTTGTGACGCTGCGAAGTTACTACCGTTGCAACTGAATATGTCTCCGACTTTGAGGGTCGATAAATCGATGATGGAATCGTGCGATCGTTTGGTGGTAACCGAGAGTATTTAAATTGAGAGTCTTGGATATAGCATCAAAGAGAATTGACGTGTATATATTTGATATTCGTTAATGTTGTACAGTTGTATAGTTTGTTTATAAATATTGTTTTGTGCTGTTTTATAAATAAATAAACAATATGTCGTGCGGTGGAACACTCCGTCGTAACAATACCATACATTTACACAACTACTTTTAGGAAAGCAAAGGTTAGAGCTCGTTGAGGTGGTCAGATGTGGCATGTGCCCCTTTTCCACTGAGCCCCTCAACTGTGTATACTCGTATCGAGCGCGTATAGTCCCGGAACCGCGGGATTAGTAATGAAATACATTAACAGATGGCTACCGAGCGCGCGCCGCGTGTCTAGAAAGTTTCTTATTACGTGCTTCGGTGAAATCTAGGTAATGGAGACTATGTACTCTCATTGACACTGTTTTCAAAATCGTCTATTGTAAACTATTATGTATCCACAAGAAAGTGGAATACGACATCCGTATTAACACGGTCTGGCGGGGGGTCTATCGGTGGAGGGGGGTTCATTGTTGGCACCACTAATGCGATGGAACCCAGAGAAGAGTACTTCCACTCACTCTCTCTCTCTACGATTCAGTTCTTGTTTATTGAACATTATTCTTCGCGGTACACATCCGTTTGTCGTACTTCGTCGAACCATTGCTCGCGTTGGTTACGCGTGAAATCTTCACAGACCGTGTATCGTTATCAATACATATACGGTTTGCAACTTGATCCACCTGTATACGACACCAGATATCTTATTTGACTTACGATGTGCGGTGGCTCCGTGTGTGGTGCATCGACGTGTATAAATAGAGCATACTCAGTGCATATTGATATGTCCCATCCGGTGGTATGTCTATAAGCTACTTTATTTTTCACGATTATTCGCTTTCCCTTGGGGTTACTTGCTAACTTTACACAGGGTGAAACAAAAAAGGATTCAGAACTTCTGGGGTAGACAGTATTTGCCAATGGACAAAAAAGTTCTAATAAACACGGGTCGGGAAATAAATATTTTCGAAGTTATAAACCATTCTTTGTTTCGGTCAAGATTATCATTATCAATTCTCTTTATTTTTTCCATACGTCACGCGCTTTAACTGAAACAAAAAATTGTTTATAACTTTGAAAATATTAATTGTTCGACTTATTAGAACTTTTTTGTTCATCGTTTGGCTTAAAGGTTCATGTTGTGTCTTTTCCCATTTTCCTGTATATCTCGAAAACTATAATAAGTATCCCGAAACTGTAAAAATGAAAATTTAATGAGTTCTTATGCTCTATACAAGTGTGTAATGACAATTCGTAAAAATTCGTTATTTATTTATTTAAAAATTTTTATGATCGAAACAATATAGGGAAGGTACAGGGATATTTGATCCGCTCGTATTGTGTTACTCGGTTTTAAGTAATTCATGGCCACTGTAAGAACATATCCTTGAACTTTTTCTCTTTTTTTTTTATAGAATGTGGACCACAAGGTGAAATTCCGCTCCAAGAAGGGTTCGCTACCGTTTGTCGAGCTGAACGGGGAAGAGATCGCGGACAGTACGATCATCATTCGCGAACTAAGTCAGAAGTTGGGCCACGACCTGGACGCTATACTCACGCCCGAGCAACGAAGCGTTTCCCATGCGACGATATCGATGATCGAGAACCACCTGGTCTGGGTGGTGATGTGCTGGCGCACCAAGAATCTCGATCAGGTCTTGAAGGGCTACAAGATGAACCTTCAGCACGTCCTTGGCACTCGTATACCAAACGGCATTCTGAATTTCATCTTCAAGCTTACGTACGGTCGCAAGGTAAATTTCTACGTCATGTTCAAATAGACTTTGAAAGCATATTTCAAATTTTCCATAAAAAGTGAAAGACAGAGTCCACGATGTAATAAGCACGTCAACGTGTTTTTGCCCCCTTCATGGATATTCGCTGTTCTATTTCATTTCATAACGTTTCTCAGGCGCGTACACATGACACACAGGTTGCCTTACAAAGAAAGTAATGCCTATAGAGCCATAAAGTACACAGCAAAACGTAAGGCCAGCATGCTGCTCAAATGGTGTTTGACAATCTAACCTAATAAGAGGCGTTAAGTAATATATATGTCCTGTACTCTCGTCTATGATAGTACCTGAGCGTATGACCTGGTGGTCAGTGAATAGACGCACTAGTATCTATCTTTACCCAATAGAGAAACTGCAAAAGTAGAAAGACGGTAGCGTTGTGATCATCCGTAGTGAAATATAGTGGGATTTGTTGCAGAGCGCGAAAAGGGTGAAGGCTCAGGGTATGGGCGTCCATACCCCTGAAGAGGTCTCCCAGTTCGGTTGCGCCGACCTCAAGGTTCTCTCTGATATGCTAGCTGACAAGCCGTTCTTTTTTGGGGACGAGCCAACTACGGTAGGTTTCTGTTGTTAAACTGTCTCTGTGACTATAGTTGGTAGGTCTCGAAATGGTAAGTTCGACCATTTACATGATCTAGCATGTATTGAAACCGACTTCTGTAATGTAAGCATATATAAGCGGGGGAAGGTTGGTTTCGTCTTTCTAATATGTACTGTCGAAATTTGCCACACACAGTTGGACGTAGTCGCGTTCGCGCACCTCGCTCAGATCCTCTACATCGACAAAGACACGCCGTACAGTCTTCGGGATTACATGCAGGAGAACTGTCCGAATCTGGTAGGGCATTGCTCGCGCGTCCAGGAACAATGCTTCCCAGACTGGGACGAGATGTGCTCCACCCTGGACATGAACACGCATCTACCGAAGCCGGAGAAACAACAAGAGGAGAAGGAGGGCAAGGAGGAGGCGAAGGAGTCGAAGGAATCGAAGGAGGAGAAAGAGGGCGACAAGGAGAAGGCGGATAAAGAGGAGAAAGAGATGGAAAAAGACAAGGAGGTTGACGAGAACAAAGAGAAAGAGAAGGAAGGGAAATAAGCTGTCTCCGATGCGCGACAGGAAGCAACAAAAAATATAAGTCGTTCAAAAAAAAAAAATTTAACCGTGGAAAATTGAGGGTGTAATCTGGATATGAATTGGGGAGAAGGGAGTGACACGGAGAGAAAGGGTGGGTAAGAAAGCGTGCGTGCGTGCGTGTATGTGTCCTCTACGTGTATGTGCGCGCGTATCGAGTGAATGATAAACGAGAAACGAATGAGTGTGTGCATGCGTGTGAGAAACAGAGAGTTAAGGGGGGGGGGGGGGGGGGGGGGGAAGGGAGGGAGAGAAGGAGATAGATACAGAGAGAAGATGTAGAGAACATGAGAAAGATAGAGGGGGTAAAACCGTATGGAGAATGTGCGAGAGAGATAGATCCGAATATGAAAGATGGGAAGGGGGATTCAAGTCTAAAGCTCTCTACTTATACGTATAGATATTTAGTAGGCTCATAATGTTAAATACTTCGTTTATATACCTACGTTCAAAACACGTTACACGCCATTTCTCATCGACATCCCAAGCACACCCGAATACTGAACAACTGTATTTCCGACGCAGGGCCGTTTTTCCTCCCGCCGGCATTAAAGGATGATATATGAAAAACGATAAAAAAGGAAACAAAAACGGGGCTATCTCATAAGTCATTAGAATTGTAGGTTTGCAATATATCAAATGCAATAGCCTGACGCCAGGTGGTGAGATCTTTATGAACAGTGGCCAAATGCGGATCTGTACACTGCAAAATGTACGGCGTTAGTTTTAAAAAAAGAAAAGCGAGATCGTTTATATGGTTGCGATTACACGCAAATAGCGCAACACGCCCCCCCCCCTCCCTCCCTTGCTGGATCCCTGACGTGACACAGGGAGAAAAGCGTCTTGCGGTCGCGCTTCTAGCATTGACTCTTACTGTGCAACATGAGTTACGTACCTAGCGTTCCAAGCAACGTACCGTATATCACATTATGATGATCTTCGTTTAGTCGTGCTTTTCTGTTGTATTCGCGCGCTTTGAATCGCCGTTCGATAGAGACCGTTTTTGACCATACCTTCGGACACACAACCGGAAACCACACGTCGATTCGAGCCACCACTCATGTACACGCGCTATCATACACGTATATAAACACATTCCTTTCTGATTCATTGGTGCTCGAATGTAATTTCCGGTGTATCGTTTACTCGTAGCGAACGCTGGACATTTTTTTTTCTTGGGGTCTTCGAGTCGATATGCATCAGATTGGCCGACGTAAACAGAGCAAAAGGGCGGTCACTGGTTTTTAATTTTGTCTTGTACTTTTTTTTTTTTTTTTTTTTTTTAATACAATTTATTGACAACGTCCCGACGAGCGAAGACTCATTTGCGATTACGGATCGACGGCAAATATTATATATTACGATTATTTGTATAATATTATAGATATTTTGTATTACGTATACGCGGATGCAATCCGAGTAAAAAGCGCCGTCGCTCGCAGAGGGCAACCATTGGCGCAGAGGGCGCGCCATGGCCCCGCCCTCCAAGCTTCTCCGGGGCCATCGACTTGTCTTTGTTTCTTCTTTTTCTTTCCCTGACAAACGAAAAGAAGGAAATGAGAAAAGAGGCACAGGCAAACCATCTAACTCTTCTGTCTGAGTTTCCTTTCGGCGTATTAAAGAAACGAAAACAAAACGAATATAATAAATAATGAACGCTGTGCTGCCCCGTGGTTAGTTCACTATTATTAGACGACTTTTTCCTCGAACGTATGAGAAATTTTGCATTACGTAATTATACAAAGTGTCTTTCACGCATCGAAACAAAACAAAACAAAAGAAAATGAAAAGAAAATGTGAAACAGACATTTTGATGTATAATGTTATCGAACGGGAATTGAAGTTTTTTGTACGAGAGGCCGCTGCACCAAAGGCGGCCGCCAAATATTTCACGAAGACACGAGGATTATTATATATTATATTTAAGTAGCTTACTATTATTAACGATGATATTACGATTATTACATAAAGAAATGAAAAAAAATGTATGGAAAAAAGTAACAATTAGTGTGTGGAGCTGTTTATACTTAGGACAACGCATACGTTTACATCCGTGGTTACATTATTATTACGGATTATTACGAAGTATCGAGTAAATAATATTAAATTAGTGACGTGAGAAAGAAAAACACTTGGACAAGACCATAAACGTTGCAAGCACAGTAGGTAGGCACATCCAGTACAGTAAGATTATTATAAGAGGAATATTAATAATAATTATAATATGACTGCTCGTTTTATGCTCGGCGCTATACATTTCATTGTCATTATTATTATATCACCATTTATTAACGATATACATACGAACAAATAAAATGTGTTTATAAATATAATGTGATCTTTACGAAATTCATCGATCGTTATTGATTCACCCGAATATGTTAACAAAACATTAAGTTCTTTTGTAATTACCATGGTGCATTTCAGTTTTATTGTGATATTTCCATTTTGATCTTTTCTGTTCAGGCAAAGATGTGCATACCACTAAACCTTTTGTAATTTATGAGCTTCATAAACGGTCTACGGTAAAAAACGATGTTTAAATAGGCTAAGAATGGTTTCTTTCTGAAAAGATACATTTATTTAGAAGAGTCGTTTTTGTCGTGAATGTTTATAGGTCTTATATGTATAGATTTTGCAGTCCAAGTTTTTCATTTCGATGGCAGCCAAACACATTTTAAACAACATTGAAAATGTATAATTACACGAAATTTTAATGGAAATTTATCACCGTTTGTTTTCCATAACACGTTCAGCCATGATATGTAATAATAATTTTGTTATTCATGTAAAATTTGTGTATCTCATCATATCTGACAAACTGTTTAATTGTTAGGTATCTACGATGCACGAAGTTGTAATGACCAACGACTTGTTCGTCTGCAAGAGTCGATGCAACACCCGGAATTTCATATGAATATGTCTGGGATAAAGTAGAAACATAAATGGACCAACTGTTGTTTATTATCTAAAATCTGAAGATTTACATAACAACAAACATTCGAAACGATCCGTGAGAATCGTTCTACCGCTGAATACGTTGAGGTCCTTCTCATAAAAAAATTAAGAACATTTGTTGCGTTTAACTTTTAACGATAATATAGCTAATAATACTCTTTGCTTATTCATTAATGCTGATTTTTGTTTTATGATATCTACTCGGCACTAGGATATGTTTTATATTGCTATAATTTAATGCTTAATTGGATTGATATTTATACACGAGAGCGTATTCAATAAGAACGTGCAGAGAGTGCAGTTTTTTTTTCAGACAATAGAAACTAAGATATTGGAGTATTGGGATACCATCTTGACTGGCTCCTGTTCATTTACTTACTGAAAAATATTGGATCCAGCTCTGTTTGTACCTTAATTTACTTTCTATACGTAGGTAGTTAATTCTTCCTAAATTTTAGTTTTATCTTGAAGTAACATTTAATTCTGTTCCAGTAAGTTTAGATTGGAATTATAAGCAATATTAGAGTTAAAAACAGATTTTCAACAGCAAGTAATGTTTCATCTCGTAAAACAATTTTTATCTTTCTTCTAATTTCCAGATCTGTCACTTTTTTAAAGTCAAACTCCAAAGCCAGATCTGTAAATATGTAAAAGCAGCAGCTAGTATGTACACGGTTGCTACCATACGTGGTCCCTACCGGTCACAAAATATTTTCAATTATGAAATTAACGAATTGGTAATACCCTAATTGCTTTACTTCAATTGAAACCGATCTTCATATACTTCCCTTAAAAATATAATTTAATGATACAAAAAAAATATACATATATACAGGGTATCGCAAAAAGATGGGTTAATCCAGAACATGGGTATTCCTCATGCAAATAGAAATCGAAAAGTCCTTTATCGTTTTATAATCTGATGCTCCATTTCCGACATATTAGCAGTTAACGGTCAGCTGAGCGGTGAGCCACATGTACGCGTGGACACAGTCAAGAAGCAGAGTTCGTTAAACTGCTAATAGTCTTGGAAACGGAGCTTCAGATTACAAAATGGTAAAGGTCTTTTCGATACATGTATTTGCATGAGGAATATCCATGTTCCGGATTGTTCCATCTTTTTGCAACACCCTGTGTGTATATATATATATACACACACACACACACACATATAATTTTCGCCTTAAGAATTCGGCGCAGGCTATAGAACTTTAAGTTTCAAAGTGCATTGTGCATTTACTTCGGCAAGTTTTAGTAAACGTCCGTGTAAACATCTTGATGAACTCTGTTTCAAATCGAGAGCATCATACCCGAGGTAGTGTAATTACGATTCCAACATCTGCAGATAATTTTTTCAATTTCTTATCTACTTTCGCAAAAGTTCCAAATAACTATATCCATTATAAATCCACTATGAAATTTTCAATCACAACAACGAGTGCGATAAATGCTGCTGTGGATTGCTACGAATCAATTGATAAATAAAAAAAAAATACAAGTACGGAACCGAAAAAGAATTACAAAAATAAAAGAAAAGTATACGGATAAAAATTTGTCGACAAAAAGAATATCTTAATTCTGTACGAACCAGCGTTCAATGAATTAGAAATGAATCTTCAGAAAAAATTTGAAATCCACTCCATTAAAATCAATCATTGCTAATCATTTATAGATGATATGGGAATAAATTCAGTGTTCTCCGATTTCTGACTAGAACTTGAGAATAATTTTGTGTTTCAAAAATCTAGGAACCGTTTTACGCACCATACACACCTTGAACGCCTCATGGTCGTGCATTAAAGACACTTAACAAATGCAGCTATGAAATTCACGCACAGGTGCGGGTGAGTCGCAATACTGAAAGGGTTAAGCGAACAAGGTGAATACGATAGAACCATTCAAAGCTGTGAAACACAAAGAATCGCTACAATCCGTTTAAAGGGCTGTGCTGGTTGTAGCCTTGGTGCTCGAGTGCACGCCGGACTCTGAATTCGGTCGTCCGGCGTGTGGCTATAGCTACGTGGATGCGGCGAGGCTTATCGATGTTGACTCGGTGACGGCTGCTCGTGGTTTCACATCTAACGAATCGTAAAGTGGGAATTCACAGCAGAAAAGGCATTTCAAGAAATGCGGGACTTCAACGTAGATCGACGGCGGTATTGGTATCAGCGGTGACGTTGACTGCTTGTAATAACGATACTCGGCGTTACTGAAAAATGATTGATCGTCATGACATATGACTTGAAATCACACACGAATATTGGTGTGTGTTTGTTTACTCTGTAAAATCTAAAATCTAAAATATGCGAAGACTTATATGACACTTACTCACGGTATCTTTCGTCTGAAGCCCTCTCCAATAGAGGCATTCCAGACAAGAACAGAATAATGAATGTAGTGAAGATCGGAGAGGCTATAGCGACCCATTCAGCACCTTCGATCACGTTCAACGATATCACGAAGATGCCCCACCATACAACTATCTCTCCGAAATAATTTGGATGCCTGGATAACCGCCATAGACCTGCGATACAGAGTCAAAAATTACACAACAAGCGTCGTCTCTTGCTGTAAATACAGATATTCCTGTCTCGAGCGTACAACTGCACTTAAATTTCAAAGTCCATACCATCGTTGCACCATTTCCCATTGTTCACGGGATCCTGCTTGAACGAGAATTTCTGCAGATCCGCGTACGTTTCGGCCAATAGACCGGTTATAAACAGACCCGTGCCAGCACTATCTAAGGACGTCATAGTCTTAGGAGCGGGGGGAATCTTGTGTCGCGGTGAATTGATAATGATCACCGGGAGGCTCACAACGTACACCCACACAGCCTGGAAGAAAGATTCTAATCAGTCGGGAATAATCGAATAAATGCATCATTTAGTTTCAGTGCTATATACATATACATATGTATCTTATACGCTACATACAAGTATATTCGGTACACGAACGATTCTCGGGAGACCTACCTATATTGATTACATATTTGGCAATTTCACCAGAATCAATAAGGCATAATATTTGGCACTGGAAGTGACATTAAATCAAACTTGACAGAATACATGGCCTGTTTTCGGTAGATTATTACCTGGAAGGTCCAGAACACCGCGAAACGAATCACGTTACTGCGACGATCCTCGAATCTCTTGTCGCGGCCAATCTTAATGATCCGATACAGCAGATAACAGGACAGACGTACGCCCCATAAGCAAACGAATATGGTGACCATAAGCTGTCGGCTGTCGTACGTCTACACAAACAGGCAACAAAGCATAATATAAATTTAATATTTGCAATGAAAAGTTGTTCGTTGGTACATATGGTAGATTCCTATTTGCAAATTATGAAACGTAACGTTGAATTACATTTGAGTGGACTCTGGTGGTAAGAAATTGGTTTCACGGCGATAAACGTGACCACGATAGAAGGCGTGATTACCCGTCTATCGTTTTCCATCGTACATTAATCGTAATTTCTATGCAATTCGCCGCGTGCTTCTGACGCATACGTGTGTGTAGACACGTTTATAATTAGAGTACCTTGCCCACTTGACCAAGAAAGAACGTCAGGAGGGCGAGGATGATAAAATTTGTGCCGCCAGCGAAGTCCGTCAGTTTGTCCAGCTGGAAGGTCGCCGCGATCGTGAAGAAAATAATTTGCATGCCGACCGTGACGATCGCGCTCACCGCGAAATGGTCCTCGTCCAAAATATCGACCGCCATTGATCCTCGGTAATTCCCCTCCCCTCTGACGAATGAACTATTCTCGAATCTGGAATTGTTAATTAAGCAATTATATCATACATCTCGTTATTCTCCATTCTTTAACTATATTTTTCTTTTCAATTCTACTTTTAACGTGAAATGTATAAATCACGGAAGGCTAACAGATTTTCTCATTATTTTTTTTTTAACATTTTCAATTTTTCTTTATCTATTTCTTAGTAACGTTAGCTCTAATCGTTCATCTAGTAACGAGAGAACAATGTGCGATACAAACCATTTCCTCAACTTTTAGTTTATCGTTTTGTCTCCTTTCGTTTCTATGAAACGGGTATAAAATGTAAATGTAAAACATAATCAAGAATCAGAATGTAGTTTGGTATTTTGCTAGTAGTATAGGCGCGACTTCGATCAGACATGGATGATTGTATATTATGTTGATACAGAAACTGGATACCTACATACTCGGCATTTCCCGCATTCCATTTTATTTCATGCACAACGGACATCGTTGCCCCGATATTTTTCATTTATCGATTATCTTGTAACCCGTATGTTGGTGTCACTTTTTTTTTATTGGTCGCAATATATTCATTATTAATATATGTATAATTAATTTGAAAATATTCGAAGAATATCACAGTAACGCTATCGCTCAGGTCACATTTCAACATTTTCATTACCGTCCAACGTTCAAATTGAATATTAAAAATATGATACTGGAAACATATTCAATGTGAGAAATAAAAATGACAAATGCTCAATTTGTCAGTGTATGTATTTCATACATATTTGTTCGTGAATTAAATTCCTCGATCTCTGGAAATAGATTTTAATCGGTACTTATTCGAGTAACGGTCTCCGCAACGCTAACCGTCGCAATGCAGTTCAATTCGTTTGCTGTCTCTACAACAAACCGGAGCATGTTGAATTTAACATTTTCTAGTAGGTGACGGTTGCAAATATTTCCAAATCAGACTCCGTTAAAAAAAATATTTCCGGATAAAACACTCTCAACGTCAACAAAAAATACACAATAATTGAGAAAATTGTTATACTGTACTCACCGTTTCTTAAAACTCGCTATTCGAAATTTTTGCATCGTATAATATCACGAGACAACAATCCTTATTCAATATCGAGGGGACGGTTAAAATAGCCGGAGATCTTAAAATTTTCACTCAGACAGAGAATATTTTACGCGAACGAACAATTCGTTCGAGCCAATACCGTTTATTATCGGCGTCTGACGAATATCGAATTTCAACGCGAACATCGTGAACGAACCCTTCGATGTTTCCGACACAGAACAGTGTCAGCAGTTTTCGCAGACGTGTGACCCTCGCCGAAAATTAAAAGCGCCAAAGGATTCGTCGTTACTGATAACCGGCACCAACTTTTACAATCAAGATACAAAAGAACATGTATCATAATATCTCGCGAGTCACCGTCAATGAGGGGCACCGACGTTCGTTGATTTTTCCGACGATATTGTGAGTGTGTTAGGCTGAGAAAACGACAGCACGAGATTCACCGGTTTAAGAGGATACGACAATTACCTCGAGAGAGAGGAGTGTCATCGTAGCAACGATCAAAATACGAACGAATCTGCTGAATGTTCCACCCTGATCTGGCGGAAGCCAGCGGCAGGACTACGAGGCAACATTCAATGGAGAGTCTAAAATGAGAAACCCATGATCACGTGCCGCTTGCGAGCCAAATGGTCGAAGTCGAACTGCGAGCGCATCGGACGGCTCGGAGTCCGAGCCTCGGACGCGTCGCTATTCCCGTAGCTTCATCCTTCTCCCGCTGGAACACATCTCCCTCTGCTCGATATTCCATGGCAGTGCTTCTCATACTCCGACATACGTAGAACCCCCCGGGTAAGCTACAGTTGATGGATAAGATTGGCCGATTTTCTACAACTTCTGGACAAAATACGTACAGTGAATTCGTGAGATGTTTTGAGTGTTAACTGAAGTGTATTTCATACTACAGGACAAGTCTGTTTACAGAAAGTAACATTTTTTTTATGGCTACATTAAATTTCGATTTTCATTAGTTTTACTGTACAAGTCAGAATCCTCTGAAATCGGACACCGACGATACGAACTTCCGATGAACCCGTGGAGTCTCTATCATCAGCTCAGTATTTTTCTGTAGCAATACAATTGAATGAAAAAGAATAATCGAGATTTTTTTCAATTTCTTTATTTGTCGCAATTGTTTTGTATTTTTCCCAGTGTGCGCAACGGGCGCCTATATTCGTCTAGGAATCAATACGTATAACCGACACGAGCGCAAATGAATTTCTGGTTAAATGGAACATGGCGCTTTACAGTGCTTCTCTTCAATTGTCTCCGATAAGACATATATATACGTTATACTTGATTTGGCGAGACGACGACACAATTGTGCAGGAAGTGATGTTATATACAAAAAGAAATTGAGAATGTAGAATCCAATTGTTTCGTACGGGAGCATGCGTATCAGACGAGTTTTTAAATTCGATTGCTTTGAGAACCAAGTGTTTACCAAAAATTTTAGTCTATATTTTCAACTGACTTTTGTACATAATAAAATATTTTCTAAAAATTCAATACAAAAATGTGGAATTTATTTCACTATTTCTTTTTAATTGAATTACGAGTCATATATTGTAATGTAGTACATTATATTATTAATAGTAACATTACAAACAATAACGAGTAGGTCTTATTTTGATTATACATTATGCATAAATAAACTTAACTCTTAGATTCCTTCTTAGAAATATTACAAAATTCAGTGTAATGACAAGTAGATAATATAGCAACAATAGTACTCGCAATCGCGCATTCAATTTTAAATTTCCTGTTAAAATCTCTCATCGCATAAGAGATCCGCTACATGGAAATATTATTTATGACAAACAAAGCTAAAAATTTCTTCAAATTAATTAGGAAATGATATTAAAAATACAGAAATCTCCTTAGAATCAGAAACTTAAATTTCTGTAAATTTCCCTATATATTATACCATGCATTTCTTTAACGGTATTTCACTTACAATTGTACAAATTAAAGTTCATTCTCAGTTTTAAGATCTAGTGTATTTTCCCCAGATGTGAAGCATAAATACGGATGCAATGAAGAGCAGGGACATCACAAGCACAGGCACTGGTCCTCTGTAAATAAATTTTTGTTATTGGTACATTTATTCACATTATTACTTATTAATCAAAAGAAATTTCATAGATTACTCTTAATTGTTGTTAAAAATGATTTTCTATCGATGTTAATATTTCAGTAACTAATTCCGAAGTTCTTTATTGCAAGGGTTTCCATCTTTTATTCTTTCCTAAAAATTTTAAACACCTAGTTTTTATCTAATTCTTGAATAACAATATATTTATTTATTTATTTATTAAAAGCCTGGAGACACATTTTATACGAATGAAAGCTTCAAAGCGCCTTCAGCAAAATGTACACTATAAACTTCAAAATTGGAATCATGGATTCTTAATTATTAACCCACCGAGTACTGGACTCGCGGGGCGTCCGAGGCCGGATCATTTCTGACTCACATCGGTAGGTTACTAACGCAAAGTCACGGAGGTTCGGGTTCGAAACAGAACAGCATGAATTTCACAAAAAAGAAATCAACAAAATATAGACAAGAAAAATTATTAAGTATCTAAGGTATATTACTTACACTTTAATACCAGGGGAGTCGTCTGTGTAGAACCTCCACATACCGCCAGAACCAGCTCCCGGATTTCTACTCCTCGCTGATGTAGTTGTTGTGGTCTTTCTTTGCCTAACAGTGCCACTGCCACCTGTTCTAGGCGCTATAGCTTTGCTAGGCGATCGACCAGCAGCTCCAACCGAAGTAGAACTGGGTGCAGCAGGCTTCAGAAAACAAACAAAATACGACCATAAGTATCAAACTATAATAAGTTCATCAAATTCTAAAGTTTCGTTCAATTACTCACCATTTTGTTTACACTTTTTTCGTGTTTACTTCGTAGATACAATCCAACCGATCACGAAAAATTTCTGTCAACCTTCGATACCGACGAACTCCTGTTTCAAATGATATCAAGAAAGATACGAAACGAAACTGCTTCGTGGAAAGCCACGCAGTCACAATCGAACCTTACAACGATCACATTCAACGTTCACTGGCAGTATGAAGTATAGTAAGAAGCAACGTGTCATGCATACCATCCACGTGGTGAACTGTAGACACGTCACCATACGCGGTGATGTTCACTGTGGTGTGCAGTGGTGTGGCAGAAAATGATTAAGCCACCATTTCTTGCAGTTTAATCTTGTTGCGTATTCGTCTTAAGGTATTTCAGAATGCATGCACACATACGTACATACATATATATATATATATATATATATATATATATATATATAAAATTGGGATCTGACAGTGAGGGCACTACATACTTCCAAAGCTCTGTGTATTTTATCGCATACATAATAGACTGCGCGGTCTTATGGTAGAGATGAAGTCGACACTAGAAGGAGCGGACAGTAACTGGAGTAACTTTCCTCTCCTTTTAATAGAGCAATTCCCGTAAGATGAAATGTCTACTCCATACCTCGCCTGTATTATTAAACAGTTCTCATCCCACACACAAGGGGTTTTTTGCGCAAACTCTGGGGGTTCTATGACCCCTCGTTCACACAACACGGGATTTCTTCTGACTGCTCCAAGGGTTCTATGACCCCTCTTGCTCACACTCGTGGGGTCTGTTCCGACTGCTCCGGGGGTTCTATGACCCCACTGCAACAGATTTCGATCGCATTTTCACTGCTAAACGGGCATCATTTTTCCTCGTCACGCTTTAAATTCAAAGTTTTAAGAACGTAGATGAGTACTCTCTAGCGGCTGGGAACCAGTAATTACAAGAACATTGTTAAAATCACATTTCCTTGCAACGGATGACACTGTATCTCGTCATGCGTACCCCGGTTAGTTCACTTTGGACAGCTCGTACACCGTTATACGGCCAGCATTCGTTTAGCTGAAGCACTCAATTTGTAGCTGAAAGTACGTAGATTAATCTCCGGTCATTGAAAATAACAATAAACAACCAGAACACTGTAAAAATCGCATTTAATAGCGGAGTACCACTATTTTTTCGACCGGTGGCGCCACCCGTGACGAATCGCTGAAACTGCTAGCCAATTATATGGCTAGTAGTTTCAGCGATTCGCCACGGGTGGCGTCACCGGTCATAATAATAGTGGTATTCCGTGATTAAATGCGATTTTAACAGTGTTCTGGTCGTTTATTGTTATTTTCAATGACAGGAGATTAATGTACGTTCTTTCAGCTTCAAACTGAATGCTTGATCAAGACGTAACTTGTCCATAGAACGTTGGAAGAGCTATTTAAAGTGAACTAAACGGGGTACGCATCGCGAGATAGAGTGTCAACCGTTGCAAACAATTGAGATTTTAACAATGTTCTTGTAATTACTGGTTCCCAGACGCTAGTGAGTACTTATCTACGTTCTTAAAACTTCAAATTTAAAGCGTGATGAGGAAAAATGATGCCCGTTCAGCGGTGAAAATGCAATCGAAATTTGTTGCAATTAGGATTGCCGTTCCATAAGGGGCTGCGGTAATACAGGCATAACTAATTTTACTTATTCTGGGCTTCTGCACTATTGGATCGATGCATTAAGTCCTGACGAACAATTTGAGATCAATGACGTTCATTTTAAGCGCTTAATTACTGAGATATTCGCATTTTTCCTACATTAAGAATTTTCACTCTCCTGTCGGTATGATTTGGTTAGCAAGTTTGAGCAAATTGCCACGGGTAGCGCCACCGGTCGAAAAAATAGTGGTACTCCGCTATTAAATGCGATTTTGACAGTGTTCTGGTCGTTTATTGGTATTATCAATGACAGTGGATCAATCTACGTTCCTCCAGCTACAAATCGAGTGCTTTGTCTGGACGAAAGCTACCCTTATAACAGTCTAAGCGTTGTCCAAATTTGAACTAACCGGGAAGCGTATCACGGGTAGGGTTGAATTGATACCACGAAGGTACATATCGATACTTTTACTCATAACTACTTTTGGCGTGCAAAATCACTAACTGTGATGTATCACAGTGATCACCGAATCACAATCACGGTCGTGATTTAACTTCACTTACGACCGTGATTGCTATCTTTTTATCTTGAGTGAATTTGCTCACTGTGATCGTAAGTCCTTGATCTTTAAACAGAAACACGTATTCAATATGATTTTACAATGAATTACATTACTATTTGTGTTTGTAAAAATCAGTAAAGAGTAAGACAATGTAATATTATAATTTAATCTTACATATACAGTAAAAAAACTTCAAATTATTCTTACATTCATAATTTTACAGTAAGTATATCACAAAATAAAATAAAATATCGCATAAAATTATGTTCTCACGTTTTATTTAAAAAATATATACTAATATTCGTTTGTTTATAAGTATAAAAAATTTGTTTTTTTTTATTTAATAGAAGTCTTCCTCCGTAGCTTTCGTTCCTGTTGTCTGATTCTTTATTTGTTCTTGACTACTGTACATAGAAGCTACTTGTTGCGCTGAAGTGGAATCTTCCGCGGTTTTATCGTCCCGAATGCGAATAAATCTTGGGAATCGAAGGGATATACCTTTTTCTGGATCGACGATGCCAATAGCTGCTCTATGAGCAGGTGACAGAGATAAATCCGCACATTTAATTTCCCACACTTGAACGGGTTCAAACCAGTGATCAGGCTCATGAGATGAATCATAACGGTAGTAAGACTTCGGCTGCGGTATTTTCTGCTCGTTGAAGTACTCAGTGTGCTTCTGAAGATCCTCTTCGCTGAATCCCGTCCCAATCTAAGCAGAAAAGAAAATAATATTGAACCTATGAAGCGAAACTATTCAAATTGTAATTGTAGTGAAGTCAGTACTCACTTTACAAATGCTTTGATATTCTTCATTCTCTTTATCATAACAAGCCAACAGAAATCCTCCGTAAGTTCCTGTTCTTTTTCCTTTTCCTATGTACCCACCCACGACGACAACATCTAATGTATCACCCACACCATCCAAGTAATCTTTTTTCAATTTTAACCAATTTCGCGAACGCTTAGCTATCTCGTACGTCGCATCTTGTTCTAAAGTTTTCACCATGAGACCCTCGCAATTACCTATTTTTATAGGATATTATATAAATCTTCAAATTCATTTATTTTCATATTCATAAGCTGGCAGACTAACCCTTAACCGATTCATCTAAGAAGTCCTGAACCTCTTCCATCGTAGAAGTGTCTAAACTAGTTGCAAATTTCCACTCTCCATTCAATTCTGTGAAGTTTTTCTTCAACAACTCACGACGTTTTATAAATGGCTGTTGCACCAATGATTCTCCGTTTAAATACAGCAAGTCGAACATAAATACACACACGTGTACTTTAATATCTGCTTCATTTGCATCCTGAAATAAGTTAGTACATTAAATTACTAAATTAATTTTATATTATGAATCGTTTTCACGGTTTGCATTACCTTACGTTTCCTAGTACTAAGTATTTGAAACGGAAGTATTTGTTGTTTCTCGTTATCCCAAGCAACCGCTTCACAGTCAAGAATACAAGATTTGACGTCTTCTTCTTTTCTATTGCCGAACCGTCTTATAATATCAGGGTACTTACTAGTGTTGTTTTCTTGATTCCTACTATAAATACTAATGTCGCCATTTTCAGCCAGATGGATCTGCAACATGCATACTTATAATTACATGTTGCTTTACTTTCTTCGCAATATAATTCAAATACTTTTAATGGATAAGAAAAAAAAACCTGTGCTCTTTCTCCATCGTATTTCCATTCACATGTAAACTTCAATCCTTCGAAACGTGTTAACACTTCTTGAACACCTTTTGTGGGATGTGCTAACATGGGTTTCATAGGTATACCAGGTGTAATTTTACACTTGTTAGGTAACTCGTTAATACCCTCTTCCAATAGAACAGGAATAATTTTATCATAATTTGAACATTCGCTGGAAAGAAAGCATCTAAGATTAATATACGTTAAAAATCAATTAATCATGATAAAGGAAACCCTTACCAATATGTTGTTTTAAGAACTAGCGCTGTCTCATCATATTTTTTCTTGAAGGAATCGTTAGACATCTTTTTGCTTACATCTAAAATTTCTGGTGGAGAACCCTGCTCTGGTGGAGTCAGTGTACATGCTAAAGCTAAAGCCTGTAAATAGTCATGATTAATTTTGTAATTGTAACATATTGGCGACTGCTCTTACCACTGAGCTACCCGGGTTGTTAACGATTCTTCCTCTCCAAATTCATATAAGGTACACAAATATGGCGTTCGCTGCGCTCTACCGCTTACACAAATAAAAAAATGCATTTAGTAATCTCAGTTGATATCAATGATAATCTTCAGTTGTCATACAATCTCGAACTCAAGTGCTTGTAGACTGATTCCTGTTTTTGTACATTCAATATGTCGCGAAGACACTCATTTACGTTACGGAATGCTTATACACACATAAATATATTTTACGTCAAAGGGATTGATTTTAGCACGTATTTGATTAAGTATTTTTTACTCCTCTCGGTGAGTACTATGAGTCCCTATATTTTTGGACATTTTTCCGAACGTCCTGTATAATACAGATATACTTACTTGTAACACAGATTGTTCTGCTAAACCAATTCGAAGCTTACCAGCCAAAGACCTGATTAGATATCTGGCTTCACTAAATCGACATGCTACGAAAAGTGTCTGAATTTTATCCAATTTCTTGGCTACAGACTGTAAAAAATATGGTATATGTACATCGGTAGTAATTATTATGATTCAACGATACAATCAATTTCTAGATATCATACCGCAGAGCCAGTCATTTGTGCAATCTCCTTCAATCTAACATATACAGTTGATACTGTTAACTGGGCTGGTTGAAACATTGTTCTTTGATTCGAACGACTTCCCTCCGCGACAAGGCCCAAGTCTCCGACTTGTTGCACGTTAGTTTTTATTTGGGCCAATGTTCTACCAGTACATTGTGCTATGGCCTTCATGAGATTCGTTTCCGCCACACCCAATTCAATACCTGAAATAGAATTACATATATTATCCTTAAATAAAAAGTAATGTTACAAGTGCTTACCTTCATAAGCGGGTGCCAGCTGATTGAGACATAAATATACGCTTGGAAGCAAATCATTTGGACTTTGAGCTATAACAGAACGAAAGTAGTTTGATAGAATTTCTATTATCTTTAATCGAGCGCTTGTTTCCTCTATCAGCTCCAATGTCCGCGTTAAAGCGATATATGGTACCCTATACAAAATACGAATGATGCATTGGTATATGAGACATATGAGTAAAAATAAGAAAATAAAAAGCCATACTTTTCACCCAATTTCCAACATGCATCCTTTATGGGATGATAATTAGAGGCATTAGGATTATAAGAATGACTCGTGGATTTCTTCTTGTCTTCGTTGCTGTCATTTGCACTCGATTTCTGTCTTGGAGCTGAAAAGTAACAATCATTTAAAACTATTACCTACTTAAATCATGACAGGACACATACCAAAGAAATTATGGATTTTCTCAGCAGGCTTTTCTTTATGTTCTTTTTGTTTTTCAATGTCATTTCCTTTCTTAATTTCAGTAACCTTCTGAATTTCGTTATTGGATTTATTTTCTTCGTCAAGTGATTTCTGTTCTTTTCCACTTACAGTTGCTTCTTTTGGACTGCATGGTATCTGTCAATTGGCATATATAATTATTATATTACAGCTATAGTTACATTTATAAGATCTTTGCCACAAAAATATACCTTCATTGGTAAGTGACTATCTTCATCACTGGAATCATCAACAGGTGCTATTATTCTTGATCTCTTCTTGACAATTCTTTTAGCATCCTGTTCTGCCTTTGTTTTGCTGGATTTATCAGAGGTAGACTTTGATGATACAGATTTTAAAGAAGTTGACTGCGTTTCATCCTCTAAACTTGAATCTTCCTTTATATGAGTCACTTCCTCCTCCTCCTTCTCGTCCTCTTCTTTATCTTTTTCACTGTTTTTCTTGGGATTATACTTTACCTTTTCCATTTTCTTCTTCTTTTTGGAAGCAGTAAGTGGAGTTTTTGCTTTTCTTTTCTCATTTTCTTTAGGTGTTCCTGGTGACAACTTGATCTTAGGTGTTTTTCCTTAAACATTAATGTCACAGAATTGTCTTCTCAACATTCTTTTGATCTCCGGTAAATGTTTATTACTTGGTTATTTTACCATTTAGCTTTCTTGACGGCAAAGGAGTTTTTGGTGACACTTTTAAAAAATTATTTTCCAACTTCTTTGCAGGTGGAGGGCTGCAGAAAAAATGATAATATCAAAAACGTTACAGTTCTATGGAATGTAAAAGTTGTTGCTACAGTTCTATTCACCTGGAAGATTCACTACTATCCGAATTGATTTCCCGTTTTCGTTTAGAATTACCCGGGCTATCTTGTTCTCCATTCTCACTGGGTTTGCTGTTAGTATGTATCCAATTAAAAACATTGTTTACTGTCGAACGTAAAACGTTGTTCGACTGAGGTATTTTATTCACACATATGGAACGACAAAAACAATGATCAAATGTACTCATTCGTGCACACATCACGACAAATCTGAACATACTCGTCAAGTCTAACGAAACACCAGAAAATTAATCCACAACGTACCTTGAATTATTCGTATCACTACTATCCTTCTTCGTAGATGATTTCGTAAAAAACGATCTGCCGTGAATAACGCAATTGAAGTATAAGCATATGATCTTAATTACTTTACATTTCTAATTTTGTCATAACATATTTTCTTTAGATTTACTTACGTTATACTGCGTTGAGCCATTTTCTAACCTTCGTATTACGGACGCAGAAAACGTTGCCGCGTTTTTCCCTCGACATAATGGAGCTCAGTTCGAATGCAAAATTTTAACGTATCCGATCGTTATCCGTTACTCTTTTATTCCAATGAATCGAATATCATTTTTAACTATATACTTATACCTTATATCTACTATACACACACATTGTTATATGATGAACATACAAGGGATGGAGGAATGAAGTAAAGACAGTTTTATTTTTCGTTACTATATTTCTCATGTTTCTTGAAATCCAAACACATCTATTTATTATCTATCGATAAAATAATACAATAAATATCCGCATTATCCTAAAATTAACAAAATATCTTCCTTTTTATATTTTTGTATTCCTTGGTCTAAAGTATGCAATTTTCTTTCTTTTTTTTTAAGCTTTCTCCAAAATCGTGTTCTTACAAATTTAAATGCAGCATTTTTTTCGTAACAACAAACAGCCTTAGCCAATAGTTCGTACGGTGTTCGAGAAATAAAGCGGACAAATCAAGATCGCTGATAACCCATCGAATATGTAAAGTTTAAAAATATATAGAGTTTGAGAGCAAAGAGAATATTAAGGACAAAAATGGATGGGGAGGAAAAAAATGAAATCGTGATTCGTGGTTTTCCTCTTTCGCTCGCACGCCCCTGACCGTAAAGTGACCGTAAAGTAACCATAAAAGGGATAAGAAAGGAAAATTCGACGAAGGCAAGATATAGTTTGCGTTCGTTATTTTCACGTTAATCTATGGTCTATATTATATTAATGTGCTATTATTATTCGTCTAAGGATCATTGAGTTATCATTGAGTTATCATTGAGTTATCATTGAGTTATCATTCAGTAATTTACATTCGATTTTATACATAAAAGTCGTGAAGGGGGTGAACCCTAACAAAATTCTTACCATGACAATTCCCTTTATGACCCAGTGTGGACTAAACTCTTTAGCAGTATATTTATCGTCTTAGTCGATCTCTTTTCAAATAACACCTCGGAAACATTATTAGTACGGACTATGCCGTAGAAATTCTTTATCCGTTTATCCCTTTACCGACAACCGACAATTCGAATTATTTATTTCTAGTCGTTTATTATGTTTTTTTTTCCTCGAGAAACATTGCTGATCGAAAGGCAAAAGTATATTCTAGCAACGAATTTACAGAGTTATCGAACAAATGAAAGAATCACAGGAGCAATAACCAAAAAAGAAGTAAAAAATAAACATTAACAGCCTCAAAGTCGATTTTCTGCAAAAGGGGAGATCATAGTAAGATGAACTCAGTGGATCCCGCGATCGCTTTCTATGAAATGCTACGAAGCATCGACGATAAAAATGAATCTTTACTTCGAGAGCCTTAGATAGACGAAGATTAATATTCTCCTGTACCGTATTGTAAAATAGAAATTTGTAGAAATTACTACGGCTAAGTCAGTTAAGTAGACATCTCTCATTAACCGGCGACATCAACGAGCTTTACGGCAAGGTGTAACGAACATATGGAACTTCCACATCGTTACCGTCCGAATCGTTACAGCAGAGTTCGAATACCAGGGCACGTACATGCGGTTCCAACTTTTTCTTCGATACTTTCTTGACTACTTCCGACATCAGAAGACCCATGCGTTCTTGACATTTAGGCTTGGCCATAAAGAATGAGTAAAGCATGCAAACACCCTGTGACAACATAGTGACCTCTAGATTGTGATGCTCCTTGAAGTAATCCAAGAACTCCTTCAGTGTTAGTTCTCCCTTTACTTCGAATCGATCCCACAGGGTCCACTCTGTGTCGTAGTATTTCAGTTTCGGAGCAGCAATAGGTTCCGAGAAGCCGAAGAATGGCAAAGCTAGATTGACGAAGCCATTCTTGTAGATAGACAGGTCCCTGACGCCGCGGGTCAACTTGATTAATTCGAGACATACTAGACCAGCCACGACGGAAGTAGTAGTAGCGATAGCCGGTATGATTTTACCAGCGATCAGTTTGCTCTTATGCCTGTCAGCCGGTGGGATTTTGTAATTTGTAGCGCGGAGATTTGAAGCAGCCACAATGAAGTCTATGTGGAAGTTTGTGTCGTCATCTTTCTCGAATTCCTGAGGATAGATCACTAAACCATTGAGATCGTCAACTTTTGGCAGTTCTTCTTGTAATTGATTCAGTCTTTCGTGGTCTATGTTGCCACTACCATTAGATACCTGAACCTGCGAATCTGTCTCAGCAATCTTCACTCCGGACTTTGGTGTAAAGTCTGGTACTTTTACAGTGCTCGCAATCCGAGCGATTTCTTCTCGGTTTCTGTTTATAGGGATTCCATAGACTTTTGCTTTCAAGTTAGCAGCAGCCACAATATAGTCTAAATGCAGTGGATCGTTAACATTGAACGAGAGCGGTTCGGGGCACCTCTTTGGCCCGGACCAGAACGGCTGGCCACTCGAAGTTACTTGATCGGGTGGGAAGTTAAACAGAAGCTGTCTAATCTGATTACTATATTGTTCTTGCCAATGACAACGAGCCCATGCGATACAGTCGGCAAATGTTTTTGGTCTCTCGTCAACCAGTGCTGTTTTAACAGATTCTAGTACTTCTAACGGTTGTACTCCAGGAAGTTTCAGCGTTCTCTCGACAAACTGTGGATCAGAGATATGTTGAGCGGCATTCTCTGCGGCCTGACGGAATAAACCTTCGAAGTTATCTCTAGCCCACTGTAGAGTATGCTCTATAGCATTCGGGAAATTCTTTAACGTGCAGATTGGTATACTCTTCTCTGGAGGGTCTTGAGACGAACTGTAAGATTCTGTTAAGAATGGAACAACAACCTGAGTATTGCCTTTTGTACCTAGTGTACCAGATTCCAAGAGAGGTTTTCTATAATATACACAACGACGATCCATATAAATACGAGCATTAACGTTATCTAAAGCGTTCGCCACTCCATCCAGGACCTCGAAAAATTCATCGTTATATATTTTCTCTGTTTCTGGGCAAACTCTGTTTTCATGAGCAATCACTTTCATATCTGGATTCATACCTTTGATAACTCTAGCCGCTGTTGATGATTTAGATTGTTGAACATCAGATGGCCTGAATAAGAACTGTCTATTCAAGTTTGACTTCTCTATCAAATCCATATCAGTGACTGTGACACAACCGTTTTGAGCACCAACACCCAACATGGCAAAGTTTTTCAGCAATTCACAACCAATCGCTCCTGCTCCTACAACAAAGTATTTCAAGTTGGCAATCTTGGCGTGGAATTTGCGACCAAAGATGGCGGTTTGAGAATCATAACGGGATCCAGTAGGACAACAATCTTCCTCTGTAAGCTCAGACCGATCTACAGGTAAACATTCAATAGCATCAAAGTATAGCCACTGATATATGGGATGAAACTTTCCAGAACAAGCCTTCATCACTTCCTGAGCTACAATTCCTCCAATGGTAGCATTCATTGGACATAAGTTACCAGAAGATATCTTTCCAAATATTTCCAACAGATCTTCATTGATTTCTGTTTCACTGCTTACTTCCTGTTTCATTGTTTTAGCTAAAGCTAAGAACTCATTCGCATCCTCCTGATTCCATGGTCTAGGTAATTTCCCTTTTGTTTCTTTGTAACGGTGCAACACCGTAAAAGCTAAATGTATCTGCTCTGGATAATCAAATTTCCCAAAATCTATAATCTGGAATTCAGGCTTCTTCATGGCATCTTTCAGAGGAGCGAAACGCAGGATCTTTGGCATCTTAACTTGAGTTACTATACCACCACGTATATACTCGGAATATTTAGATGTGTCTCCAATACTGAAAGTATAAGGACCAAGGACCTTGATCTTGATTGGATCACAACCATTTAGTTCTATCATTCCTTGTATTTCAGAAAATGTGACATAGTCCCCATCCTCCATGCCATGACGTGTATCATCTAAGCATGTGACAACACCTTCAACATCTTGTGAAATACTAGCAACCATTGCACTTACGGGTGGTTCACCCGTAGTATCAACTACAGTGAACGAATTCCCAAAATCACAGAAAACTTGAGAAAATAAGCCTCTGGTATCTGCTATAATAAGTGCTATATCGTTTGCATGAGTAATTTCAGAGATACGAAGCTGTTCATCCTGTGAAGTTTCGGTTAATACAACAACCTTGAATTTTTTAATGTAACAATCGGTCAGAGGGCCACTGTGATGACGAGTGGGAACATAATTGTTTAGCTCGGATAAGCGTTGGCAACAGGCAGCAGCTCGATTTTTACCTGAAAATGAAACAGTAAAATATTAGTTCTAATATTTAAGGCAGCATGTGTGGTGTTGTTATTAAGAATTTTTCTCAATTAATTATAATTAGGCTATGCGTATCCCGATGGTTTATTTGTTTAAATGAATAGAAAACTGCGAAACTGAACACATTCATTGTTTTCAAAACATGTGCACATAAAAGTGGTAACCTCAAATTACTTATATTCCTCTTGTACCAACTGTGCAGTAGAATATTCCAAGGAAATAAAAAGGAAATATTGAAATAAAATGGAGTATTGAAAATATAATGATGACTTTCCTGGCAAAAAAGATGAATCATTTTGTAATCGTGGTATCCAACTATTGCATTGTATGAATGGAATATTATTTTATATATAACCACCACTGAATTCCTGTTATGAAAAATATTATTGAGCATTACATTTATGAACTGATAATAACAATTCAATCTCTGAAATATATCATTTATATTAATGTTGTTTACTTGTATTTAATATTTAATAAGGGTTCTTATACAAACAAAAAGCTCAGGACTTGCACATATTCCTGGCTCATTTTGTAATTGCTACAACTAAAAACATACAAGTGTGTCAACTCTTTTTTTTTGGGAAAAAAAAAAAAAAAAAAAAAGAATTATTTAAAGTTATCAGTGTATGCTTGGTATCGTACAATTTCTTACAATATTGTAGATAAATTTATATAATCGATGCATCATACATTTCTATTCCACAGGGCACAGAAGCCCAGAAACCTTTTTTTATAACAACAAAGACAAATTATATCATTCCATTAGAATTGATCAGAGACAAAAATATCGATGTGAAGCCGCCAGAATCATGACTGTTAATGGCGTTCATAGATATGTGTCCGTGAATCGCGGTTTAGGGCGCTCACCTATATCTGCCTCTTTGAGGTAGAACTGCGAGCCGAGATCGGAGATCTGGCACAACGCGTCATCGTGTAAGGTAACGGACTTAACGCCGCCGAGGATGACGTTCTTCGCGATTTCAACGCCGAGACCACCCAGGCCAGAAATCAGAACATCGGAGGATGCCATACGACGCATCGCATCATGACCAAGAACATAGAGCTGCCTGGAGTAGAGACCCTCATCAATTTCGGCGGGAGCCCGAGACGTAGAGCCATTTTTCGCCATGTCTGTGATCGTCGTCGAGTCGTCGGCTCCTCCCGTGGTGGCAGCAACGCGTCGCTTCTTGGCTGGGGGGTCAACGGAGCTTTCCACCACCTCAGCACTAGACATCGGACTTCACGGGGCGCCTTATTATGTCCGTCGATTGTTTTTCAACCCGTCCGACTACACTTTAATAAAGCCAGTAAACTTCACCGCACGCCACACCGACTTTGCCGCACGCGCCCGCTCTCGCTCTCTCTCCCTCTTTCTCACCGCTCCTCTCTCCTCTTCCTCGCTTCCAGTCTACCCTATCTGGACCGTGACTGTACTTTATCGCGATACCACTGTCCATCCAAGAATGATTCTCGTTCTTTCATCCGCTCTGTTGCTACTCTCTAGTCTCTAGCAGTCCCACCAGCGGCAATCACGATATCGTGTGCTGGATGCTTTTACGATAAAGTGGGGATGAGGATTCGCGCAATCGGTAAAACAGCGAGACCCACGTACGTTATGTGATCACCAGTGGCGTATCTTTTTCCCTTACACCCGAATCAGTTTCTTGTGTTGATATTCTTGAAACGGTATTCGACGAGAAAAACAGGAAAGAGATGGGGCTCGAGCATTTCCAGGATAAAATTTTCTTCCGCATTGTTTCTTTGTTTCCATGTTTCGACAGTGTTGGTTAACGTTACATCATGAATTTTCCGTTCAAAGATCCGCCATTCATTGGCTCGTGAAACAAACGAATGAAATCACGGAGGTCGCGAGTAAAAAGTGATGATTGGCTGCGAGACCGTATGGGCCGCATAGGTTGAAATGACTTTGACCAATGCGTAATACAAGTCCGATGTTGTAGTTGGTCCTAGTTTCTAGTTAGTAAATGCTGTAAAAGCTTGTCGGAACGCCATCTATAACAGGTATTATTCTCAAGCAGGAACGTCTATAATCTATAACTTTTTCGTCCCTGCTTATCTGACGTGGCAAGGTGCTTATCTGATGAATTATGCACGTGTCGCCGGCAAATTATTGGCACGCAGTTGCAGAATCGTTCGGGTCGCATCGATAACGAGCACAATGGGTGACATTGTCTTTTTATAGTTTTCTTATCGGTGTGCATGAGTGACAGTCTTTTGTCCATTACATTTGTTCCAAACATTTCCTTTTCAATCGTCCCACGTTATCTTTGGCGATGCTAATGACGGGATTCGAAACATTTCAGGACACGGACACGGATAGGTGTACAAAAAAAATTCAACAGGATAAACAACCAAATATATACTTTATTGCACATATGTCGATCCACACCGTTTCGGTCTAATGATTGAAACTATTTATTCAGAGGTAGAATTCGATGCTTGACCATGACCGTTTGAATTCACGCCTATGCCTCACACACAGTTATTAGTATCTACATGGAAATAATTTCTCTACTAAACGCTACACGTTCTGCCACTTTAAAAACACGATATTGTTGAGACGTTACTTCAAAAACAAATTATAGATTTGCCTCCCGCCACCTTTCGAAATTTTCATTTACATATATCTTTCAAAATAAACTTATATTGCTTTTTCAGTTTGAGTACATGACTACGGGAATTCTGTCTGCCATTAAATACAAAAACGCAGACGTTGATTTCCTTAAGAAATACTTGTAACTAAAGTATAAAAAACAAACTGCGTTACGAGTTCTGTTTCGAAGTGAGATAGAAATGAACGAACGCAAAAACATATGCAGCAACTTACGGTAAGTCACGAGAAATTCGATTCACTTTCAAAGGTCATTAGTTAATATTCTACAAAATACAAACAACTTTAAACGACTTTTTGAGCCTGAGCCAACTGTAAGACTACAAATTTCTCAAGCAATCGATACGATAGCAGACCAGCTCTATCAATTTTATTATTCGACAATTAAAAATCTTCAACCGGCCGGGTTGAGATGTAGCCCAGGTCTGACACATTGGTAAAGTATTCTTGACTATGGTATTCAATTTCGAGACGTGTTCAAAGGGGTTTGTCTTCGTCTATAGGGACAGGACTACCGAATGCCCTTTCCGAGGTTTCATCCTCCTTTCCCTTGGCGTTCCCCTGGAAATGCATCGAACGAATCGCGGTCGTCCCATCAGGTTCCGGAGTCCCGAACGGCGATGAGGTGTGCGATACCGGTGGAAACGGCGCGGTCGGCGCCTCCGATTCCGCCGTGTCCGGGGCGGAGTTCGCCATCTCCAGTGAACCGCTGAGGATCGAGTCCGGGGATTCGTTGAAATGATCGGTCGGTTGGACCGGTTCACCTAGAAGCTCGTTGGTCTCCGACGGTCTTCTTTCCTCGGGTACTGTCGAGGTGCGACGCGTCTTCGTCTTCATATGCCTGTGACCACGGGTTCCTCCAATAAATCCCATAGAATATTCAACGTCCCCTTTCAATATGACACGGCACATTGCAGACAGAGGACCGCCGATGTCCTCGATCGTTCCAAGAATACATTTCAGCAAGTAAAATTCGATAAACCGAATTTACCACGAGCCACGCTAGCTGAACTCCTCGTCTACAATGTGTGTGCTATATTCTTTTGTTCGAAAGGGTTTGCGGATATTTTCGGTGGCTTTGTGATAATACGTGTTCTTAGATGTCACTGTTACAGGGTAAGTGACAGGGGATGGGTATCACTTACTGATCAACGTGTATCGGTGACATCGTTTGATCCGGACTCATTCTCATTACACCGTTTCCGTTGTCCCAGGAATTGTGACGTCGATGCTGGCTCTTGTCCTTGTATGCTTCGGCTATGTTATTGTAGCTACCGACGATACGTCGTTTGTCCAGTTCCTTTTGAATTTTCTCCGGCATGTTGCTCGCTGATCTGTACAGTCCACGCCTGATCATATCCTATAAACACAAAGACCAATCTTTAATTGCGTCTATATAAGTTGACGTCTCTCCTTTATAACGTGGTAACCAGAAAAACGTTTTCCAAGCGGCAAAAGAATCGAATGTCCATATTTCTACGTACGCTCGAAAGGGGCATCGGTTCCACGTTTGGATTCGTCCAGACATTGGTCGCGCCCGGTGCATCCTCGTTGGTGGTGTCGTTCAGCATCTCCGCGGAATACGTCGGTCTTGCTGGTATGATCGGCGAACGACAGCACACTCTGCGGTAACAAACCCTACGGGATTAATGAAATATCACCTGTCGCGGAGTCTGTCATACTTACGAGTTCACATCTTCCAATTTCTTCAGTAGCCGTTCATTCTCCCTGCATACGAGCTCCTGGTCCCGTATTACTTGCTCCCTGGTGGCATACAGTTCGGCGTTCTCGCGACGAAGCGCCTCGTTCTCGGTGATGTACGCGTGTATCAGCTGGCTGAGTTCCGGTCGTTCCATTTCGGACAGCTTGTCCAGATCTACCACCGGCGGTGTTAACGGAATTTTCCTCTCGGCTGTGTAAATTATCAACGGAACAAGTACAGATTTTCTATCTCAAGTATGCGTCAGAGAACTATCCTCCTCTCTTATACATATTTACAGAATGTCTCTGTTACAGTCATACCTTTGGACTCGCTTCGGACCACATTCTGATCGTCGCCGTTCAGATGAAGAGCCGCCCTGAGATGCTCGTTTTCGGTCTGAAGAGCTCCCACCTCGCGTTTCAAGCTTAAAATCAACGCTTCTCGAGGGTCCTGAACAATAATAAGGGACCTGAATAATAATATTCGATTCGTGATTGTCGAGTAATATTTCGTAATCTCTCACCATCACCACGATCGGTTTGGTTCGAATTTTCTTCACCCTCGCCGCGTACCTCAACGTGTTTAACGTCTCACTACCGTTCGATCGTGCTGGCGAGACACATGCGATCTAAAAGAAAAATCCCTCCTAACGTAATGAAATTACGTGTTATGTGGAAAAAGCGATCGTATGAAATGACAATGTATTCACCATCAACGTCACGCCGTTTCCCGCTAAACTATCGGCGAGAAGTTTGGTCAGCTTGCTGTCCCGATAGGGTATGTGACCACCCTTTCGTTTCCCATCGCTCAGAGAGGATATGCAGTAGCCTGTGCGGGGGTGAAAAAAAGAAAAACTCGGACTTTGAAACAAGTTAGTTCGTTTCTTTGTAGCTAAACTTTAATCGGTATTCCATGCGACTCGCTTTACCCCTCACAGTCCGCTTATCGATTACCACCGAAGACATTAACGTTGCGGGCAAGGTGGGAGGGGGGAAAGGAAAAACTAGTGCTCTTTCGATACGCCGGTGAACGGCTGAGACGATCGATCTCGCCACGATGCTCTTTTGCATAATTGAAGTCTTCGGGAGTCATAACATCGAGGGTAATTCAATTTCCGGTAAAGTTTACACATTCGAATGCCCGTAACGATACATAGGTATACATAGATATACATAGGACTGTAACAGTGTTTATACAATTTTTCCAAACTACCCTACCTAGAACCATCAGACTCTTGTTGATGTTGTTCGCCTCTTCTAAGGTTTTACCCTCGCTCTGCGTCTTCTTCGTCATCTCGCTGCCGGCCAAATCGACGAAATTGATTTTCCCCTGTCTCGAGATGAACACGCTGTTGTCCATCTGCGGGACGTTAATCGGTAAACAGACTATTTCTTAACAACACGAAACGTACACATACGATCGAGAGGCCACTTACTTGTTGCTCGGACGTGATATTAACGGTAAGAATGCTGTGACTTCGGCTGGAGTGATCGTTCATATTGTGCGCGCCGACAGATCTGTTTCTCATCCCTGAACAGAAATTCATCTAATATATATAGAAGGATGAAGTGTTTGGAAAAAACGTTTGATACGAAAATTTTAGAGTTCGAAAAGAAGGCATCTGTTGGTGACCTAGATCATGACTGGGGGTGGGGGGGGGGGGTGAAAGCCCATCTGTCTAAATAGACGCGGCGAAAGGTGATAATCGATCACGGCTGGCTACCTTCTTCGAGAACAGCGAGAAGGTCATCAAGCTCTTCACACTCGACGGTGAAAAGATTCTCGACGAAGAAGCCTCGGGTTTTTTTGCTCCATCGGACCATCAGCGGTTTCCTCGACGTCCCGGGATTCAAGAGATCTATTACCTGCGGTGAAATGAGTCCTGTGAAACGCGGACCAGCCACCCTCACTGTGTGATCCAGCCAGTTAATTCGATCTGGGTTTTATAAGCTCACCTTCTCGTTGTATATCTCTAGAAAAGAGGCTCTCAACACAAAGTTGCACTCCCGCCGTTCCTGCAGCAGCTTGAACAGGTAGACGAAAGACCGGAAGACCAGGCCATTGTCCTCCGAGTAAGAATTCATCCTTTCGAACTGGAGAGGATTGGTTCGAAGTATCATCGATTAATAATTTCTTTCGATATCTAGAATTCATCGTGACGGGACGTATTCGAGGTGTTTGGGTCAAGAGGTTCGTGATAAAATATGAGACAAGTAGGGTCCGATTGATTTCCTTTCTACACCGATAATCCTGTGTTTGTTTTCGTGTGCCACAAAAACTTTGCGTGCAAATACGGTATTGTGCAATCGTCGACTGCTACTCTGACATTATCTTATCTACGCGTGTCGATCAAGCATTAACCATTCCAACGTTACTTTTATGACGGCCTTCGATACGACCGGCTTGTTGTAATGCATTATTCCTCGGGCTCTACGGTCTCGAACTTCCCGGTTGAACACACGTGAAAGTGTTCAGTCTCGAGTGAAACAACGTTTACGCCCTAAACGCTTAGAAACCTAAAGTGTAGGGGATTTCTGGTTCAAGCTTCCAGGTGGTAATGTTCCTAGGTATCGCGAATTTCGGCTCACCATCCCCGGAGGTCCCGTGAGAGTGTGAGATTTCCCGCTGCCAGTCTGCCCGTAGCAGAACGCGGTACAGTTGAACCCCTCCACCGCCATTTCGATGAGCTTCTTAACACCTGAGAACTGCAGAATGTCCTCTTGCGTGGCAGTGGGCTCGAAGACGACATTGTACGAAAATAATTTACCCTTCTTGTCCCCGATCGTTGGAGTTCCTTCGCACTGTGTACAAGACACAAGTGGACCCCCACTCGATGATAATCAGAAAGAAAAAGAAAGAGAAGAAAAAAGAACAACTTTACACACGGAACTCACTTACGTATATCTGTCCGTCTCCGGGAAATTGTACCGCCATGTCATCGCCCGCCTTGACTTCCCTACCGCTAAGTGGACGAACCCTGAGAAACGAAGACACGTTATTGGAATAATAGAGTCCGTTGTTCATCGATACACCTACTGGTGAACTAAACGGATATGTTCTGAAAAAATTCGTAGATTTGATCACCTGACGACGACATTTATATTGTTCTCTGGAAGTAAGTGTTTCGTGGCGATCACCCTCTTGTCACCGTCCACCAGCCTCTCGATGCTACCAGTCCTGCGAGCGCAATTAAACGGATTAACACGCAGTTCCAACCAAGGGACCAAACAGAACTGACGATTTTCCATTACCACCCCTACGGGGCATTTTATTCTGTCACGACCAACCATACACTTTCAAATCGGAGCAACTGTCTGTCTGTTCCATGATTGACCCCCTATCACGGTCTCATAATAATGCAAAAGGTTCAATCAATCGGGCTAACTCGCGTGTTTGACCGGGCTTCATTTATGATTTCGATTTCCCTCGATACATAGGGAGGGGGGGTTAATCGTGAAAAATCGTTCGCGGCCCTAGTCAATGATTCATCGGGGCTCCGTTCGCTGAGCCATCTGTGTCCGATTCGCTGCCTTGTTGGAAACGCGCACGAACTTCTCATGAACCCTCGGGTATTCTTCAAAATACCATTTATTCATTTATTTCAGTATTCGAAATAAATTTATCAAGTGGTGGGAGGTCCTTCTCCTGTTTTTTCCCTTAGTGGAGGCCGAGTTTACTCGTGAGGATACATACAAGGGTTGAGAATATCAGTGGCCTTTAATTCTTTGTGCACCTCGAGATCAAGGTTATCAACGTCGAAGAAGGATTAATTCCTAATCGGATCGTCGAAATCTACAAGTACTCGGCACGGGTTTCCGCAATTACCGAACGATTTCCCTCGTTAACGGCCAATCGCTTATTCAACGGTGCGAAACACGGCGCGGGTAAAGCTACGTCTACACTATGTAGTAAAACAGTGTTATATGTATAACAAATTGTTGTGGAATCTTGCTATACAACATGTTTTCATTCACTTGTTACAAGATTATATACGTTTCGGGCAAGTATATAACAAGTTTGTCTAACATTTCACGTCATTATTAACCTTTGGATAATGAATTTAGGTCTCTCGTGACCCATACTTTAAGCCTACGCTAAAACACAGGCCAAAACTTTTGATAAAACTTTTACACGAGATTTTTATATGGGTCAAAAATGACCCGGCTCCCCTTTCTACGTGTTTGTCATCCGAGGATTAATAATGATGTTACACATACCATTATGTGTATAACATATAACATGCTATATGACACAAAAAATGGTATGTAACATCGTGTTATATAACATTTTTCTTTCTGTTTTTCCAACAAGTAATTATAATTTTGCTATACATATAATGTGTTATGGTATATAACGTAGACGCAGCTTTAGAATTGTCCCACCCCTCGAAGCGGAAGGGGTCAGTGCCGGTTGTTGCACTTTGATGAACGCCGGAAGCAGCCTACCAACGCCTGTTCAACTATTTTTCCAGTGGTGTTGCGTGTCCACGTGTTTAAATCTATTGTACCTCCAACGTGTGCGTTGTGCACTATCAATTTCATGGTGTTCGGTGAAGGTGAAAATCTTCGATGACACCCTGTATAGTTGTGTTGCTCCGAGTGGTCACTTCAAACTGCGCCACCGAGGAAAGAAAAGGGTTGTCGTTGCTCGTCGGGAATAACAATTATGTTAAAAGCTTTAACATAATTGTATTAAAGCTAACGTCATAATTGTTAATAAAACGTCACAACCGCCCAGCGACAATCGACGAAGATGTATCGACGTGATATTCTTTTGGAATTATATGTACTCGTTTCAGGGATTGAGAAAATGTTCACGATGTTATATTATACGCGAAATCATTCGGAAGAGACATTTTTTTTCCTTGAATGCCGATGGCAATTCCATTTTCGCGCGCATTACGCCGATACGCTTTCCCCTTGACCTTCGAATACTACGAACTGGGGATAAAACGGAATATAACGTTCTTTGTTTCGCCACGCAGTGTTGATATGGTAATAAATGCAAATATATAAATCGTTTTGATGTTTTTTTAATGAATTAATGAAAATTGCATGGCTGGCTGTGCATATACAGGGTGACCCACAAGTTCAAGTGTGACCCCATTCACCGAATATCTTTTTTACGTAATTTGAATGGTATTAAGTGATCAGTATCATGCAGACTGATGCAGACGTTGTTTTTTTCTCAAAGTTTCCAAATATTTTTCATGTTTTCACAATTAACTTTCGCGTTCCTATGACTGGGTCACCGGTGACCCATCGGTAAGCACATTTACCGAACTTTTTATACATCGATGAAACGAATATTTGGAGATTTTGCTATGGGTCCGTACTCTAAGGGTTAAGGAATATTCACGTGGAAAGGTTATGTTTAAACGTGACATCCTCTATACGTCACGTGATTACGCGAATATATGGAGGACGAAAGAGTTTCGATTGTCGATTTGGAAATACGATTGCCCTGTGGCTGTGTCCTAGGCCCATACCGGTTCTCGGGAATCAACAATTTTCTTTATCGACCGTCCACACGTGAGTCATCTGTCCCTCGTAAAAGATTCTCCGTTTGCCGTTTCTTTTCCGGCAATTATCCAGGCGTTCCGCCAATTCTCGGACAGTGATGACGTATCGCAAGATGCTCTTTTTTTGTCCGTCGACGAACCCAGACGCTCTCGTAATTCGACTCGTTAATTGATATCGAAACTACAACGGGGAGGAACTGATAAAAATCGTCCGACAATGTTAACACGATAACGGGCTACGTGTGCCGTGCAAAAAGAACATCACTCTACTTCGTCGTTTCCTTCGTGCATCGTGCCTTTATCGAGTCCTCTTATTCCGCAATTTGCTGCCGTGCAACCGTCGGAATGTTTCGTTTTCCCTGTTCCCACAATTACGATGCATAATTAAATGCTCTTTTCTTATGGACATTTGGTGTAACGGTGGATAAGTACACATATTAGGTTAGGTTTTTCGAAATTGACTGTGTTCGTGCAAGAGCCAACACACGTTGTAACCAGATAGGGACATAACTGTATCGAAGATGACTGAAAAAACCATCCAATCAATCCTCTCCTCGGTAAGTCTGTCTAATGTTCAATAGTGGTCTCTTGGCGCTCGAGAGAAAGGGTCGGGACTCGATAGGGGAGTGAGTTATCGCGTGCATTAATGGCGAATGCACTGTGTATCTATTCCACGTGTCTGAACGTTGAGATCTCATAACGTAGGTGCACGTTACCGATCATCGCGATATTGACCGACAGACCAGAGACACGAGCGGCCCAAGCAAGGTCCCGCAATCGATACACCGCATCAGAATGTGTCACAACCCACGACGTATGTGTCTATCAACGTCCGCCACCGAGTATGTAGTATGTACGTATGTACATAGAACCGCACGTGCCGCGGGGGAGGCGATGGGCGAGTTCACACGATCGTCTCCCCTCCCCAGAAAATGGGACTTCCAATAGAGAGGTCGAGTCATCTTCGACTAATGACAAACTTATCGGTGGCCTGGATCTCGGTGGCCATTTCGCACGAAACGATATTCTCCCTTTACTTGTCTGTCGAAATAAAACCCCCCCCCCCCCGCGTTCGACGAACGGCAAGTCTCTTTTACGCGCGATTTAGGTAGCCTGGCCATCCAAAACAATTTTCTACTTTTCCTGTGTATTATTTGAATAATTTAAGCTTACGATACCGGTGGTTACTTTCTGACGATCGATATTTTTCCTCGCTTACGGGTATGTACGTTTTGTATCCCTTTGAAATTTTTGCTTCTAATACAATAAATACAAAGACGTTTCTAGGGAATCGAACCGACTCTCCTTGTCTTGTGTGTTTTTCATTATCGGGCGAAGAACGTCGAGAGTCGATAAGAGTTGATTCGAAATTCATCGCGACAATATTACACGATATTGCATAGTGGATTGGTGTACTTGGAATATTCATAAATTGAGCAGTAGTACGACATCGGCGGAATATTGACGTACAATCTATGTCAGTTGACGGGAGTAATGGGATTGATTGTTTCGGGCACGGTGTTACTTTTCTCGCGGAAATATTTAGATAGATCGATGTTATCTTCGTAAACGGGTGTTTGCACTCGCAATTAACGTGAAATGGCGTCGGGAATATTGATATTCCGTTAGGTGGTCCCGACATCAATTATCGAAGCAGAATGTCGAACAAGTAGGCGACTCTCACCCTTAAAATAATTAGTTAGTCCGAAAGGAATGGGTGCACCAATTATTAGGATGAAAAATTGAGTTACAATAGAGGATTAACGAATCCTGTAATTGGTGAGACAATATTTCCATTGATGGTGGGTTCGGTGAAAATAGTCTTTCAAAATCGGGAATTAGTATAACAATTTGTGGTCTATTTATGATGTATTGTCGATGAATACTAACTCGCTACCCCGAGACTGCAACAAACTGCTCTTGACTACCCTCTTGAGACTGGAGCTGCGTTTCCCTGGACTATTTCCTCTGGACACGATCCCATCCGACGGACTATTGCCGCGCGACGCCACGCGGCCCCGTTTCTTGTCCTTCTTCGCATTTTCCCGTTGGGTGTTCTCGCTCTGAGGGGGCGACGGATTTTTCACAAGCACCATTCGTCAACCTTCAAGCAGAGATGGGCAAATTCATTATCTGGATAAAAAATTTCGAATAACGAATAAAAGTTAAAACAGTTCATCGCCATTTTTAATCGATCTACGGGTCGATTTCAATTTTTCTAATGAAATCATATTTTTTCTTCAACGAGTACACACCTGTCAGACGATTATTTAGCCATATTAACTGTTTTTAAAGGTCCGAAAAACGACGTTAGATACTGCCATTTCTATATGTATGATTTGAATAAAATTGTGTCCAACTCTACCTTTAAACGATATAATACGAAAACTCGTTAATTTCGCCGATCTGTTCATCGTTCCACGATGTTTCCGTGCGGCCCCATCCGGGACCGTTCACACGGAACCTATGTATTAGGATCGGCGTGAAATCGGTGAATTTTCCGGGCGGTACAATAGTGAAAGTCCTTCTTTTTAATCTTTATCTTTCTCCGATTCATACAACACAGGCTTGGGTTAATTAACAGCGTTCGCTTGCCGAGAACGAGAGGAGGTCTCTGGCCGATGATAATCACGCGTTCGTCGTGTATAATTGAAGCGAAAGTTCTGGCCGCTGACTAATTATGATTCCAATAGAAATTCTTGCTTATGACCGATAGATGTACACCATTTATAAAAAGGAACAATGGTCGAATTAATTGAAAGATCCGCGTAATTTCGACATCGTTTCTTCTCGTTTTCTCGTGGACGTGCACACCACCTGACTAAAAGTTCGTAATGAAGTTAACAGTATATGTATACCTACAAGGTGGACCATTGGAAACGTGATCAGCTTCGATTATTCTACTGTCATAAATAAAACTATTTTCGTAAGGTAACTATATAGGTATAAGATTATTGTACGTCATAAATAGAACTGAGCAGTCGTTTCTTGACCGTTCACTCGAGTGTATGGCAGCTGATGGACACACCATTTTCAACATAGTTTTAATTAAGGTAAATTATATTTCCTTAATGTTTCTTTGGTTTAGAAAAAAGAACAATTATTTGTTACGATGCTTTCCGAATTCGTCTCTGTACCGTATCTTTTGTCAATCCTATTATACCCCAATGTTTTCAAGGTCACCTTCAATTTGTTGTTCATACATAAACCTATAATTCTTTTACGCCCATCTTTTAGCGGACACTATTATCTTAAAGCTCTCATTGAATTATGTTATATTACCGAACAAAATTTCGACCGAACAGTCCACTCTGTATAGAAGAGGGATTTTAATTAAATCGTTTCTCGGGTCAAATGTTCGTACTGGTATTTCGGGTGTATAAAATTTCCGAGACGATTTTCACGTATTTAAACCAGAATCACTTATGTAGATCGCAGGACACGGTGTTATTTTCCGCGACTTCGTTCCGGTCAGTTCACATTTACACCTTTCATTTCGCACCTTTCCCTTTTTACAACAATAAACGTAAACATGTGGTCCCGCCGCGATTTTGAAAGTGAAAGCCCAATACAAGATCAACGGTAAAATCGTTCCAGGTACTCTGCTTGAGAAAAAAAAAAAACGTCATGGACTCGTTTTTTCCTCTCCTCGATCGGCGAACGAGCTAGAAATTAACGAGCGGATAAAGAGATTGTTGCACGTTTAACGATCGAAATGCTCTTCGCTGTTCTCCCTCGCTTTCTATCACCGTTTCTTCGATACCAGAAATATAATAATAGTAGCAATAAAAAAAAGGAACACACAGTAGCAAGGAAGTACAGTGGAATTTTATTGATTGTTTTAGATAATTACACTCCGTGTGGTACCACTTACATTCGAAATTCTCATGGATCGTTCAAAAGTGTCCCATCGCCCGATCGTCTCTCCACACGTTCATCGGTCGATCCTTTCAAACGGATGATTTCTAACCTAACCCGATCGAATAAGGCCGGAAAACTCGTGTAACAGCAACAACAGACGGCACGCTACTGGACACTCGAGGGTGGCAGCGAAACGGGGTTCGAGGGCGGTTCGTTTTGTCCTATAGTCCGTGTTTCTCCGTCGCACGCCGATCGAAACACGTTCGCTATCATCCGCTGTTTCTAAACGTTCGTTCGCCGGCTCTCGGTCTGCCCCCGTCCCCGGTCATCGTCCACGTGGACACGAAGATTACGTCAGAATGAACTTGACACTACGGTGTGCACCACCAGCCTTGCCACGCCGTGCGGAGTGATCGATGGGCCAACAACTCGAACTTCCATGCGAATACTGCTGGACCCGAAATAAACGCGTACGGTAAGGTAGGTACGAGTCTTGCAAAATCGATACGCGTGGAGGGCATAAGGTTATAATATGCGTATTATCATTTCAGCGTATTTCGACGTGGAGGAGAACAGATCGAGAAACGGGGACGCCGGGTGGTAGCCGGCGTGTGTCAGTGATCAGTAGTCATGTCTCTTGAATGTTGTCTGATTAACCGTTACAAAAGTATGGTAGCGGTATTTATCGTAAGACAACCCCCTCACCCCCTTGCTGTTTACATTAGAACGGGATTGTTCGATGATCTACTGGTAGGGACAGCTGTATCATCCATCTGTATACCTTGCATAGATAACCATAAATCTTATTCGACGTATCGTAACTTTTTAATGTTTCACCGATTAATAATTATGAATTAAATATAGAAATCTGCGGAACCAACACCGTATCAGGAGTTTTTCGTGTTGTCGAAAAGAAAACGCGGACATGGAGTTATTTTGTCTCGTCACAGGATTCCTGCGCGGCCGGAGTTGTCGCGAGATTAATGATGGAAAGTCCACAAGCGTACACCTCGGAAGTTCTTTTTGCCTCGGTGCAACCTTCGGCTCTATGTAGTTGGTAATTTCACGGCGAACAGGAAATTGCTTCCCCGAGGTTCGTGTGATATCGGGTAAGAATCGATGGCGCTTGAGAATGACTCTTCGCTTAACGACAAGTTACGTTTCATTAGTAACATTTATTACCATTGCGGGAAGATTTACGTGTCCGTGAATTATAACGTTGAATTAAAATATTTATTATTCACGTACAGAGCATCCATACGATGTAGAAAATAATTACAGTCATTCTAACAATATCACCGTCGCATCGATCCAGTTGATAAGCCACAACTAAAGAATAATTTCTAATGGTTGAAAAGGATACGATAGTAAAGTGAGAAAAGTGTGCGTAGGACATATCACTCGGTCGTACAAAATTATCAGTATAAAGTAAAGGGACCGCTGCAATTGCCTATAAGGTTATTCCAGGGCGAAAGTGGCATTTATCGTATTTCGTGCCAACTTGGCTGGCTGACATTAAGCCGAGCGCAGACGATCTAGCCTGCCCATGCAGCCTTAATACCGGTTTAGCTCGATAGGGTCGTGTTGCAAGTTGCAAGTCGTGTACTTTTTCATAAATAAATGATGCTCGACGGAAGGTAACCGTGACGTAATGATGATTCGCTTCGATCAGGTCTGGAGTTGAATCTCGATCGGTTCGAGTTATGCCCCCGAGTCCATTGAATATCTGAAGATTCGTCGAACGTCTACAAACATATATCAAATTAAAAAACCTGCTGTTTCCAGCAAATTAACAATAGTAACAATATATGGGATTCATATAATAGTATTTATAACTACATACGGGATTACTTTTAATCGCGACGCCAGCGATCATACAGATCCGTGGTGGAATATGTATACTCGTACGGAATTGGGTATAAGTAAATTACGGTACATATGTATAAGCGCGATGCACATCTTGGCTTCCTTATGTAAAGTTGCAGTTTTCCGGTCGATTACCGCGGCCACTGTCGTTAAAAGGCGTGTATAGTATACCACGAACCTTTCGATACTGCAACCATGTCGCCTCGATTAACTCAACACTGACAAACCCAGTTAATTCGTCGAGTATATGTTTCCTAGTAATCGTTACATTGATTTACGATCGATCGATTACGGTATACAATGATTCACAAGGTTCAATGAATTCCCGCGGAAGCGCGGGAAAGACGTTGACTGCGCGCACAATAAAATTATGCAGAATGTGCACTTAGATCGTCAACGAGGACGGGAACATTTTATTCGACGAAAGGAAATGCGCGCACTCGCCTTTCCATTCATCCAGATTGCTCCGTGAAACGTTTCCTTTGTATACTACGTTTCCACGTCTTTTTTTTCTTCTTTGCCGCCGCGCCGCTAGATATCGATCAACGATTTAAACGAAGTTCACGCACCGGGTAATTTAAACCAGTTACGAAAAACGCTCGACTCTAACGAGTCGCGTAACGCTCGCGGTTCCCTACAGTTTACGAACCACTCGTTTCAGCCGTTGAAATCGACGAATACATACAATATGTACGTATACTTCGAGAATCAGGAATATAGCAATACTCGTCCTACTGGCTCAAGATTTCGAAATTTTTCTGACAAATTGCCCGTCCGTCGTGGGAAACCAATGATCATAATCGCCCACGCGCGCAATATAGAGCGTGTGTAACGTACAAACGATCCCTGCAAAAAAAATTCAATGTACATCACGAAAGGATGAAAGTCAAAATTTTTTTTAAACAGAACGAACGATGTTGCTTTTGTTCAGATACGTAATTCCCTCCAATCGGAACGAACGGAATTCGGGTTCCAGGATAATGAATCCATGAGAATTCCATTCAAAGAAATGAAATTTTTTTATGGTTCGATACATTGTTTCGCTTCGAAGCACCGTGGATAATATTCCTCGAATAATCATTCATCTACAATTACGGACTATAATACTCGGTCTAATCACCTTTAAACATTGTTTTCTATTGTTTCACAATTACACAAGCTTTATCTGCTATAAAACCACGGGATTGCAATAAACTCGAAGCAAACGTTCCTGGAAATTACGTGGTTAGGCCGAATACGAGCAACGCTATCTTCGATGGACACAAAATCGGCCGGTTTATCTGGATAAATATCCGCTTGGATAAAAGTCATTGCGATCACAATACTTCGGCCCCTAGTACCATTATTAAAGGAAGATACCTTTACGAAC